TAATAATAATAATAATAATAATAATAATAATAATAATAATAATAATAATAATAATAATAATACACCACACAGGCCTCCTTGCTGGAAAGAGACTATAATGTGAGTTCCAAGCTTGGTTGTGAAATAGGCATGCTTTTTCAGGTGGAAAAAGTGCAAAGGGGAGGGGGATTTTTCATCCTTCCATTTGTTTTCATGCTTCTGCTGGTCATTTAGCAATCACCTGCAGAATTAACTTGCTGCCTCCGTACATAGCCAAATGGGAGAGCTGCTCCACTCCTTTTAAGAAGCTCCATTTAAGCTGAACTGCTGGCTTCCAACCCAAGCAGGCAGAGAATGTTAAATATTTAGGAAAGAAACGATGGGAGAGCAGAAAATAAGTCAGAAGTTTAGTCTGTATTTTATATGCTATAAATCCCATCTGCAACAGTAGATGAGGAACCCTGTTTTAATCAGCACACGGAGATGAGACACGAGGGAGGAATGAAGTTCTTTGCTGCCTCTGCTTTCTGGAGAAACACAATCTATCAGAGCAAATTACACTTTGGTGGAATATGCTGAAGTTGAGGAGTAGTGAGTTAGAGTGACAATGTTACTGACGCCAACCTTGAGAAGGCAAAGCCGGCAGCTGTGCCACCAGTACCAGAGAGATGCTGTGTCACCTTGCCTCCCTCCCTGGGGGTGGAGGTGGGGAGACAAAGCTGCTGAGCGGAAGCAGAATTTGGCCGCAGACAGCAAGATCAAAGCAAATCAAATTTGCAAGGTAAAAATCAAAGACAACAAGAAATAAAACCACCATATTGAAGTTGCTCTCTTCCTTATACAATCACCTCTTTAAATCAATTGTTCATAACTTCGTGATTGTATAGTTTCTCATCATTGGTGCCATTACAGCCGATATGAGCACAACTGAAGAGTCCTGCTGGATCAGAGAATAGGCCTATTTCATCCAGTTGTTCCAGGAAGTCCACAACTAAGCCATGAGGGCAATAGAGCAACCCTGCTTCTGGAGGGTGCTGGCAGTCAGTCTATATCAAATCCATTGGAGTTCTTTCATTTGCTTTGATGTATTGATGTCATTGGCCAGGAAACCTGTACAAGTTATTTTTTACTTGTAACTGGTTAGATGGATATTTTGTAACTTGTCTACAGAAATAACAGTACAGTACCGTTGAATTTGCCATAAGCTTTGTTAGGCATATACTTTATTATAAATATGATATGGCTAATATATTATCTATTATTGTTATAGTAGCTTCTATGAGAACTAAGATAAATTTATTTTTTTCCCTTTAATCTGTTTGGGATTTCCTTGCTGATGGGAGGAGCAAAGCAGATTATATATATTAAACTAAATACCATTTCCCACTAATGGGTCATTCCCCCCCTCTCTCTCTCGATCGCTCCTCCATTGGATGGATGGATGGATGGATGAATGGAGTTTAGATATAGATGTAGATATAGATGTAGATATATATTAGTTCTGCTGCTGGCAAAGGAAATTCAAACTACAAAAAAGAGGCAGCATAGCCTCATTGCCAATGTCTAGGAACAGTTTGCATGTTGGCTATAACTTGTGAAAAATTATTTAAAGAGAGAGAGAGAGAGAGAAAGAGAGAGAGGGGTCATTTGTTGCATTTGCTGAAGATTTTGCCCAAGGTTTGGGGGGGAGGGGGTTTCAGCAACATGCCCCTCATTTGACTCCTATGCAAAATGCCACTGATGGTGGCTTCTCCTTTCCTTCCTATCAGTTGTCCCCCCAAATGCACAGATGAGTCAGTAACAGCAGCCGCTGCCTCTTGCTTCCCGTTGTTGCTCTTTGACCTACCCGCTCAGGAAAATGAGCGAGCCACCAAAGCAGCCAGCAGTGCTGCTCCTGGAAGCCATCGTGTCTCATCCTGTGATCATTCCACAAATGGAAGGAGCAAAGGCGGCCCATCCTCTGCTTCTCTAACAGAGGAGATGAAAAGGGAAAAGGAATCAGGGGAGAAAAGAACACCGCACAGGCCCAAGAGTGCCACTAGTGCTCCAGCTGAAAAGCAGAGTGGATTCTGCAGGTTAGGAGTTGACTGTGGCTTCTTTGGAGAATTTGGCAGCTTTCTGGCAATGGAGACGAAATGCTATCCCTCCTTTTTCTTCCCCCTTCGCTTTTCCTGCCCAGAGGGGATACAGCTCTGGATTTCTCCCTCCCAACTTCTACTCACATTTTTGCCAATAAAAAGCCTGGGGACAGGCCGGGCGGTTCTCCTCGGGAGTCGCTGCTACAGTTCTCCCTTTCCCCTGGCTGAGCTCGGTAACCCTCGTCCCTGAACCTACCCTTTGGAATGGGTTGACAGGGTCCAAATCCAGAGCTCCTGAGTATAAGCTATTAACAGATGTGCCTAACTTTTTCCAAACTGCATCTGGGTTATAGCTCTTCATCTTTTTTCCTGCCCAAAGGGCTTCATTTCTATGGAACCATATACATGTGTTACCTATAAGCCGTGCATTTCTTTTCCTCAGTGGCTTGTTTTGAAAGAAACCTGAATGGAGTGTGAGAACAAGTGTCTAAGAAAGGGAGACTTTTTTTCCACCTACTGTAACAAAATGTTGAGCACCCCCTGCCAATCAGGGGAAGCCTTTAATTGAAAACTGCCAGAAGACTGAATCTGGTGATCATACCCTTGCTTTTTTTCCCACCCTGGCTATATTCGGATTATTACTATACACTGCAGTGACTTTGGCTATGGCTTGAGATTCTAAGTTTGTCTTAAAAGAAAAATGAGAATGATAGTTAAACATTAATTGGGATGCTTCACTAGGACCGAGATGCTTTTAATGACGTCAACATATTTCCAGTATTTGATTATATCCTCATCTTTGCAGTTTACAGACTACATCAAACCCTCAGCTTGCAACAAACAGAAGATACTGCATGCATAACAAACCTCTCTCTCTCTCTCTCTCTCTGTTGTTCCTCCCCCTCCCCCCCCACCTGCGACAAGACGAGACTCACGAGCCGAC